TGGGAATCATGACAACTACTATGGCAGACGACTTCGGACTAGGGGCGTTCTACTAAGTCGCCCTGACAACGAGGTTAACCCACTTCTATAAATCGAAAGGAGACTGCGACCATATAGAGGCCACAAAATCTTGGTCTTCATATGTACAAAAATATACATTAAAGCTTAGTGTAGTGGTTCTCAAACTTTTCCTAGTCGCGTCGCCCCTTTTCAATTAAAATTTTTCCATGGCGCCCTGTTATAAGTATGACTATTCGTAAGTAAGAGATAAAAATAAATAAAACTCGAATATCTTTATAATTTTTTACTTTATTAATTTTAAATTTATATTAAATAATTAATGTGATGGATGAGCCTGCAAATAACTGTACATTTTCTCAAATCGTGGAATTAAACTGGACATGTCAACCCTCATTTCCTTTTCCATGTTGATTTTTGCTCTATACTAGCTTTTTTTAAAGCGACCGCCGAAAATACAGCCTTGCACAAATACGACGTCGAAAACGGAATAAGAATCCGCTGAACCTTATCACTTAAAGCGAGATATTCATCTTCTATTAAAAACCAAAATTCTATCAATTCTATGCTGCCAAATATTGCTTTCAAATTGTTATCGCAAGATGACTCGATTAGATTCTCTTCTTCTCCAGAGGTAAATTCAGACCGAAAATTAGTGTTAAATGGATTTTGAATCCATGCAAACTTATTGAAATTTTAATTTTGACAATATTTCACAAACCAGTTCATTAGCTGTGATAAGTGCTCCTCAAACATGGTTTTTATATCTCAATAAATATCATGTTCATTTGTCGTCAAAAATTGCTGTAACAATCTTTGTCTGTATTCTCATTCAATTTTATTCTCCATAGTTTGATTTTTTTATAAAAGCTGATATTTTTTCCGTTGATTTTAAAAGGTGTATGTTCCTTTCCTGTAGAGAGCGATTAAGGGAATTCAGCTTTTAAAATGTCGCATAAATATGCCAGTTTTATTTTTTTAAAATCGGCATCAGCAAAATATTCTGCATCCTTGTATCCTTCTTCTTTAAGAAAAATAAAAATTTCTTGCCGCAATTCAGAGGTACGTGATATAACATTACCACGAGAGAGTCATCGTACACTGATATCGTACAACAAAGACGAGTGTTTGGCTCACATATCCTCACACTGTTTTTAAAAAAACCTTGCTTTCAATGGACGAGATTTTATAAAATTTACCACATTCATCACACATTCTAACATCAGATTCAGTGTAGGACTCATATGCTTTGACGCATGCGCTTCTCTATGAATAATGCAATGGGTCAACAGTGATTTGCTTCGAATAAGAGCCTGTAATCCTCCATAGCAGCCACACATGGAGCGAGCTCCATCAGTACAGATACCAACGCATTTAGGCCAATTCAAATTATTTTCTGATATGAATGTATCAAAAATCTAGAAC